TGTTTTTAACGTCGACACATTTTGAGGAAACTAAAAACAAAAAATATTTACGTATTCCCTGTCACTGTATTAAAAATACGAATGAATCGTAAATGATAAGTCATTTTAACTTTGACATTTATTTAGATTTATCAATTTTCTAAAAGATTCTATTGATAAACACATATTACATGTTGATAAATTATCGACATAAATGTCTTGTGCGTTATTATAACAATGCTAGATAAGACAAATACACACAATTTGTTGTACGCGCAAAACATATATATCTATAATTTATCAAAATAAAAACTATGTAGTTACATCACTAGCTCATAACAGCAATATTCCCAAAACGATGACATATTACATTGCTCCGTGCGTTTTGTAACACCATTGATATTTGACAGCTTAAAGCAGTAATGGTATCTTCACATTGACGACAATATGAATAAGCTTATTCTCATAGTGAATGATTTTATTTTAATAAAACAGAGTTTGTGCTTTAAAATAAATTACCTGTGAAATGTAATTTCGGTATTTGGTTAAATTACAGCTTCTGGAATAGTTTCCGCAATTAATTATGCTAAAAGACCATTTTCACACACTGTTTCACTTCTGAAGTTTCGAGCAATACTGAATGACAGCACTGGTGCCGTAAGCGACACCATGGTGCGGCGACAATGTCACCGTAGGTATGTGACTTCACTTCTAATGTCTATTTATTTAGATTTCTGTGGTTATACTCCTGCCAAACGTAAGGATATTAATAATACAGCTATTATTTTTAAACTGATTTAGGCATATATATACGACTTGTATTGATCAAAAGCATAACGAAAACCAAAAAAGGATGGACGTAGATGGTAAAGTGAAATACGTTGATTTAAACAGACATGTTTATTGTTCGGTCTCCAGAATATAAGAGACAAAATAAACGGTTTAAAATAAAACATAAACTTAATTGCTAACCAAGCAATACGCACCACATGTTGCAGTTAGACTATAAATATCGTATATCTATACTACATAACTAAGAACAACGCATAAGAATTAAAATATAATAATAAAAGGCATTAGTTTAGTAGCAGTATATCTCCTTGTGAAAGAGTTCATCCAGTGAAGTACTACCACCTTACCTATTACTGCTGCCAAGCACTAATGTGAGCATTAGTGCGTTCCGGTTTGAAAGGATAACTGTGCTGGTGAAGGGTGAAGGGCGCAGTGGCAGTGCCCCTAAGATATTTGCAATTTAAAACGCTGAGTGACACTGTAACTGTTATGGATAGGCGTGTCGCTTACCACCAGACGCACGACATGTTCGTCCCGTCACTGGATAGTATAAAAAATAAATATTTTCAACTTATTCCGCAGTTAAGAGACAGTAATGCACTAACAACCTCATTTACACAATCAACTAAGTAAGTAACTTAATTCTACAGCCTTTTATTTTTGAGGATTCTATAGCGTTCCAGCGTTCGTAAGAAATGTAAAAAAAGCATTCAGTTCCCTTCTCTTCATAGACGCACATTACAACAGACAGAAAATGTCATTCGAGTATTAGATATTCAGGTAAATGTCATTCGGGTATCAGACACTCAGGTAAATATCATACGTGTATCAGATATTCAGGTTCAAGCTTGGTATATACTAAACGTATGGATTCCAGTATCTTAAATTATAAGATTATTTGAAGATTCTACATAGGGTGCACTATAAGTTTCCGGAACTGGCCACTTACATAAACAATATTTAAAAAGTAATTAGAACATTTGAAAATGGAACTCTTTGGCTGTAGAATATAGTTTGTTTCATCTGACTGTCACTTGTTTTTACTGTGTGGCGTCATTTTAGAAATTGGTTGTCTACATCACCATGGATTTTAACTCGTGAAAATTTTCGTAGTATGATTTTCTACGACTTTAAGTGTAATTTAACAGCTCTGCGGAGCTTCACTCGGCTTCCAATTGCTTTTGGCGATGAAGCACCATGCAAAACGACTATTTATAGCTGGTTTGCGGAATTCAAACGCGGTCGTGTGAATCTCAGTGACGAATTTCGTGATGGTCGCCCGTCAACTGCTGTGAACAATAAAAACATCGATGCTGTGCGCCTTATATCAAAACAGACAGGCATGTGACATACCATGAGATTCGGGCATCTTTAGGCATAGGCATGAGTCAAATGCAATAAATACACCCAAACATTTGAGTGTGAAAAAGCTGTGCTCTCGGTGGATCCCACACAATTTGATTGAGGCTCAAAAAACGGATCGCGTCACTTGGTGCAATGTCATGCTTACCAGATTCAAAGAAGGGGCGTCAAATTTGGTGTGGGACATAGTAACAGGTGACGAAACATGGACTTATAGTTACATTCCCAAAACAAAGCAGCAATCGAGCGTCTGGGTCTTTCGAGATGATCCGAAACCAAACAATGTGGCGCGCGTGCAAAGTGCCTCTAAGCAGATGATTGCTTCTTTTTTTAATAAAACTGGACACGTGGCTACTGTTGCTTTGGAGAATCGTTGCACCGTGAATAGTTGTATAGGTACACGATCATTTGTTTGACGGAAGTTATTGACAAACTCCGTAAACGCCGTATCATCTTACTACACGATAATGCCAGTTCTCACACGGGCAAAGAGACAAATTGATTTTTGAAGGTGAACAACGTTGACCTTATGAACCATCCCGCATACAGTCCCGACCTGTCACCTTGTGACTTTTATTTATTTCCAAAAATTAAGAACCAGTTACGTGGTCAATGATTTTCATCACATAAAGAGGCTGTCGAAGAGTATGAAAAATATGTTTCAGACATTGTCACAGAGGAGTGCATGTTTTCAAAATTGGTTCATTCGTACGAAAAAGTGCATTAACGCTAACGGAGAATATTTTCAGAAACAGTAAATTGATTTCTGACCATTTATAGTATTTTTTTCTTATTCATTCCGGAAACTTATAGTGCGCCTCACGTATATTACAAATAAAAATAAACCAAAAGAATAAACACGCAGCTTTAAAATTTATGTAAAAAAGGAGTATCGAGATATATCAAAACCTTTTATCAAAAACATCGTCGATGCAGATAGACCAAAAAAGTTCCAAAGGATTCTGTCAAAGTGGTTTTTTGTTGTACATAGGATTTAATGGTACGGGGAAAAAAAATGTGCTCTACAGAATGGGGAGTTATCACAATATTATTACAATAGCAGCAACATAAATACGATTACATATGTATTATATTGCTTATGGGCGCAATTCAGTAAGTTTACACAGCGTGGCAAACTTCTGTGTTTCGAGATAGTTGCTTGATTTCGTAATAGCAACTTTATCCGACCGAGATTGGTGTGTATCTGCTGCCCGAGGACGAATTCGCACGTAGATTAGATTTGTAATTCCACCTAAGTGAAAGGACCTTTGTTACGCAACTACCCATTAAAGAGAGTATTCTCCCCGCTATGGATTTAGGACAAATACATAAGTAAACTTTTTTCGCGATGAAATATAGTCCCGCGACAACCCTTGTTAAAAATCTATAATTGAACGTCTCTCGATAGGCTTATGTGTAGCTTTGAAAACGCTTGTAGCTGTAAAAAAACATTTATATGGCGAACGGCTATGGAGTGGAATTCCCTGCCTACAGACTTGTTAACTGAACATTATAACTTGGGTCTTTTCAAGGCGAGAGTGAATAGGCATTATTTAGGGGTGCATGCTCCATCGTCGACCTCATCGTCACTTTCCATCAGGTGAGATGGAGGTCAAATGCGCACTTATATTTTATAAAAAAAAAAGCTGCAAAAAATTACTGTGGTATAAAAATCTTTCCATATTACACGCTTTATACGAAAACACATAAAATGAAGCGGTATTCCGTTGTGGAACAGTACGTATATTTATTATATGTGTTTAGCTATGCTGAGTGGTATGTCCGACAATTACATGGATAATGTTCATCAGCTGTTTTGATAACAGTTGTTAACAGGAAACTGCTGTTAACAAAGCCGTTACGGCGCGTTTCCATTATATCGTGACGACAAATAGTCGTGCAGTTTAAAGTGTCCTGTCTTGTATAGTTAAATGAAGTTGTTCATACATAGAACAACACGATTAGACGTTACGACGACAGACTGTCGTGACAAAGGAAAGTACTAGAACGACTGTCGTCAGACGATAAATAAAACGTCACGATAAAATATACGTCCACGTGTCTAGTCACAACGGATTGTCGTGATAAAGGAACAGGCTAGACGCGACAGTCGTCCAAAGATAAATAAAACGTTACGACATAATGGGAATGCGCCCTTAGCGTACTCAAAGACATTTTGTCATGCAAGTAACAACTGTCATTCCAAACTTAAAATACCAACCGTTGAGTCAACCGTGACCATGGGACCTGTAAAGGGCCCGAAACGTTGGTTTGTTTGAAAAAACAAATATACGCGATTCAAATCCGGAAAAATTGTTTATTGCGAAAACCTAAGAACTTGATGTTGCAACAATAACATTGTAAAAGTTAAAGTAATATTGTTTACAGATGCGTAGATAATAAACTAAAAACATACTTGGAAATTAATAATACCCTAAAGAAATCTGTTTTTAACGATTCTAGCACCGTGATCTTCAAACTGTTTTTTAGTCACAAAGCTCCTCTGCGCGTCCAGGATGCCTGCAAACGTCGCTGCCCCCAACCACGTAGCGACGTATGACTCGTCCGTCTTGATTATGTTCACAGGTTTGTTTACCTTCATCTCCAGCTCCTTAGACAGCCGATCAGCTAGCCCCGATATCACGGACAGTCCCCCATTTAATACGATACCGCTGTACATAAGAGGTCGTATTTCCGACTCGATGCGAGATGACGATTCCATGATACCATCCGTCAAAGACATTATTTTCCAATCCTTTCCTACAATTTTGTGTACCTCCTCGGGCTGAAAAAACATCTCCGCAGCTAAGAAAGCTTCTTGAGAATATTCTACTCTTTCCCCAGACGTAGTTGTTAAAAACATTTCGTAGCCCCTACGTGGCATTTTTAGGATCTGTTTCACATGTAGGCTGGTGCGGAATACATTATCTATAATAGCTCCTGAATTATGACCCAGATCAACATCTCTTTTCAGTAGATATTCTGTAAAGAAACTCAATATTTGTCGAGCAGCGTAACCTGTCCGCACTTGCGCGTAATTGACAAGGCCTCCCTCGTACACGGGACAGATATCAGTGCTGTCGTAGCCAATATCGACGGACAAGCCGGTGGTGAGGCCGGCGCCGTACAGGGCAAAAACTCCTTGGGCTTGGATGCATAACGCCGGCACATTAAGTGCTTCAAAGTAAACCTCACAGCATTTAATCCTGAAAAAAATACGGCATGATGATTTAGTGAATTAGTGCCTGAGACATTATGTAATATTGAACGATTACATTAAGCTTTCAATTGATATTTTTTTAAAACAGAGTCCTAAGGAAAGTTGTGATTCTTTACGTTATGGATTAGTATACCACAATGTTTAATTATAAATTACTACGTAATCGACAATCATGCAAGAAGACAATTTTTGGATGAGTATCGTAAAAGTAAATTTCGGAAAATTTTCTATAAAATTAATATTTGTCACAACTTCGAAAATTATCTCGAAGTTAAGGATCGATGAGGAAATCTGATGACAAAACAAGTGGATCAAAATTTCAATGATAGGAATTCGAACTGTTACTTGTATTTCGTGATAAAGGAGTGAAATGATATTCGCGAAGATGGTGAATATACTCGTTTAATAAATTTATTTATAGATGTTTAGCAATTTATAATATATAGATAATTGGGGTCGCGCCTGCGTCACTGACTTAACTACAAAAAAAAATTAAATTGAAATATTGCTAATTCACCGATAAACATAGTCCCCTTGAACCAAAAATAAAGCCATTGTAATGTGGATATACGATATATAAACTATATCTTTAATGGCTAGACTAGATAGTATCCTTGTCCTTACATTCCTGGTGCTGTTTTCGGTGGTCGCAGATCTTTGTTCATTGACAATCCCGGGGTTATTCTCGGTAGTCACGGTTCCTTATCTGGCAAATTTCATATGACAGTAAACTTTTTTGATGCTTCGCAGTTTCTTGTGCACGTAGTATATATGCGCCTTTATTATTTGAAATGCGGATTTCAACAAATTGACAGCATGGTGTTTCTTCCTAATATCTGAATCGTGAAGCATTTGTTATTTCTTCTTTTGGCATGGTACGGACCTTCACAGGGTGTTGTAGTTAATGATTACTTGACCATGTCTCTTTGTATTCCTATACATAATCGCCATTTTGTAGTACCTTCTAAAGCAAACTTTATATACGATTTTCCGATTGTACATGCTATTAATTTAATCCTGACGGTCACAGATAAGTTAGTTTTGTTAAAATGAACAGTAGTTTATGTTAAAAAAGTTCCCCTGGCTAACGTAATGCACTGCCACACAGGACAATAAATACAGCGCTGCCATAAATCATTTGAGCTACACTAATACCGCAGCCATCCTTTACCGACGAACTTAATCTGAGCATAACTGAATTATTTTACCCAATTAACATTACTGCAGATACCAACTTAGGAGGCTTTGATACATCACTGCCATCTTTCGATTTGTACCTTGGTGCCTTAATGATGGTTGGTTGTTACGAGCTTTATTTCCAACTTTTGTTAATTTATTAAATAATTCAGACTTCGACGACGTAATTATTAAGGAACACTCAAAACGTGCAACCCAGCCGCTAATTAACACATTGCATATTATTTCCGCTGTTATTAGTTTTACTGGATATGCCTCAGGTAGCTGGTACTTTATTTTTTTATTAATCATAGTGCTGTTATGCACACGGCAGTATACTTGGTAGCGGGCCAAAGCAATATAGACGTGTTCGAATATTTCTGTACTTGAGAATTTAGATAGCGGTGATATTGGGCGCCTTTGTCTTTCGACTGTCGACACGGAATACAGGTTTGTGTCAAGACTACAGGTTTGTGATAGCCTTTTTTTATGGGGTTCGTAACCTCTGAACCCGGCGTCGTTTTAAAGTTGCAACGGAACCCGAACGTGCCCAAATGCGAGTATCGTGTGATCCCGAGAATGGTTGTTTATCAAAAATAATGAAATTTGAGTCACATCCAGTCCCGGGTTCAGTTGCAACTCGAGAGATGACATTAAATTTGTATCGTCTGAACCCGAATTTATTTTCAAAAAATGTTGGTACATTTTATTGGTTTAAGAGGTGATGAGCTTGTTTCCGAACACTATTCCGATGAAATATTTTTTAAAGGAACTGATTAATATTTGAAAATATGTTTTCATGTACAATTCTACAAACATAACTCAAAAACGGGAGTACATATCCAGAAACCGTTGGGTTTAGAACAAGTTGTTTAGTATGGCGTGTATTATGCATAGTTTAAATGAAAATTATATTGCACCTTAGTATGGGTATACAGTTATAGTATGGTATATACCCACAGCATTGCAGGCGTCCACACATTTACAGTTACAAAATGTACCAACATGTATCGAAAAGGACTTCGGATTCAGACGGTACAAATTTAATGTCTCTGGATACGACTCAAATTTCATTATTTTTGACTAGCAACCAGTCCCGGGATCACACGAGTTGGGCTCGTTCAGGTTCCGTTGCAACTTTAAACCGACCTCGGGTTCAGATAATAAAAACCCTTTTTATGATGCCAAGTGACGAACAGACATCCGCCCGAAACAATTTCTGTCAAATAAGTAGGTATACTTGACCATATTAAAAGATGCATAGTGCGAATGAAGGTTCATATCTACTTGATATTATCTTTTGATTTGGTCGATAATTAAGTACTTCTTTGACAGTAATTGTTTCGGACGGATTTCGAACGGAGAACGAGAATGGACCCCGAGGTCGTACGCCTGGTGGTAAGCAACACGCCTACCCGTAACTGTTGCAGTGTTACTCAGAGCTTTAAATCGCAAAGATCTGAGGGGCATTGCCACTACCCTGAGACATAAGTCTACAATACTCGTATGAAATTACCTTCCTTCCACCAATTTCCCTCCTTCTACCAATTTCCTTGAGCCCAGGTAATAAATAGATAACGATCCAGAATTAATATACATTACGATATCGAAAATCGCCACAAGATCTTATTTCGCCATTTTTATTAATAGCAATACGAAGTGTTACTCGAAGGTCTTCAAATCCCTTTTTCTACAATATTCAGAAAATCCGTTTTTGCTGCAAGAAATCGCTTACGGTTCAAAGGGAGCACTTTTTCATGAGTCAGTGAACCAACAGTGTGAATGTTAAATTCGACGTCATTTGATGCGATATCCAAATCAAAAGCAAATTAGGTCTGACGACCTCGCTATATTTTTGTAAAATATGCTGATTGCTATTGTAGATTAGATCTTGATCGTACGTGTTGCTGGCGGTTGTTAGGAAATCGGAGCCAATAATGAAATTTTGCTGATCAGCTGCAACAAATATTCATTTGAATACTTGATGCAATCTCAAGTTTAAACATATTTTTTCGTCCTTATTGTGTTCCACTATTTTTGCCTCTTATCTATGCGGTGCTTTAGATGTTATGTTCGGGGTTACACGGGGTCAAAATTTTGAGGACGAATTTTATAAGTAAAATAAATAATGTACTTGCAGTGTATCACGATTGACTGATTATATTTATTATATTTACTTGTCTGAACTGCCCATGTAAATTTATATACTGTGAAATTAATAACTTTATTCTGTGTTGTAAACTTGTATAAATAAATAAATTATATGCCTTCTCAAACTGCACGTCATGTGAAACAATATAAGGTACCAGAACTAATTCATCAATTTGAAAAGATCGAGGTCAAAGCGTTGTATCTTTTTATAGGATGCTTTTGAAGAATTGTCCGCAATTTCCTGACACAGTCTCATGAATATGTAAATATGGCCCCCATTCGCTATTACATTTTTTTAATATTTGATATTTTGCTCGGATTATTGTCGACGAGGAGAATATAAATTTATTCAGAGCCATATGGTATGTTATAACAATATTAATACTAAGTAGGTATTTCGTTTGCAGCACACGGTAGAAAGATATAAAAACGAAAAGCAAATACTGAAAACGTAAAGAACGTAAAATTTTTTAATATCTTCAGATGTGATTCTTGATAAAGTAGCATAAATTCTGTAAGTTTTTTATTTTTCTTATTTTTTATATATTCTGCTTCTTTTTTGCTTCTGTTTCGCTCATTACTTTAATTTAGTTTATGTCAATGGTACTCTAGGTCTGTATGTGTATCAATTTAGGTTTTTTACCTGCCTGTTGATGAGTGTTTGTTTCCTTAAAAAAAAAAATTAAAAAATACCTACAAGTATTTGGGTACCTCATCTCATACTCAAATATATCTCGTAATATCTTATCTACACGTTATAAGGTGAAAAGTCTATAAATTTCTTTTTAAGTAACCCAAACAACTTTTGTTATTGGTACTTTCGACAAGTCGGGTAAAAATTTAACGAATTCCCATATAAACCTGCATCTGCTATTCAACGAGCTCAATACGGGAAATAAACAAAAATTATTTTATATCACAGAATTATATGAATTTTTAATAAGTACTCATAACACAAAAGCTTTTTGTTTTTGTGATCAGATTTGTGACCAGTTTAAGAAATAATAGGGGTTAAAGTATGAAATTGCCGATTTGTACTGAAAATCTAAATTGTTTATTTTTTAAATTTTTAACAAATTTATTTAATCAAAATAGTTGCCATTATTATCTATACATTGCTGCCATCTAATGGGAAGGTTATTAATGCCTTTGCGATAGAACTCCGACGATCTAGACTGCACAAACTGTGTGAAAGCATTTTGTACTGCCTCCTGGGAAGAAAACTTTTTGTCACGTAGATAATTGTCCAAATAACGAAAAAAATGGTAGTCCGTTGGAGCAAGGTCTGGTGAATACGGAGGATGACGAATGGTTTCTAACTGCAGTTCCTGAAGGGTCAAAATGGTTTCTCGTGCTGTGTGAGGTCTCGCGTTGTCGTGGAGCAATAATGGTGAAGATCGATTCATGAGTCGGGGCTGTTTTACTGCTAGTTTTGTCAACATGGTTCGGAGTTCGGCACAATAGACATCTGCCGTTATTGCTTGACCAGATCGGAGAAAACTATAGTGAATAACACCATGCTGAGACCACCAAACAGTTACCATTACCTTTTTATTGGTAAGTTTTGCTTTAGGACACTGTTGTGGCATTTGACCTGGGGTCAGCCATTGCATTTTTCTTTTCCGGTTATCATAAAGAATCCACTTTTCATCACATGTT